CCGCGCGCGCGCTCTCCTCTCTCTCTCTCTCTCTCTCTGTGCCTCTCTGCGTCTGTACACGTACTGGTGGGCGTCGAGCTCAGATAGCCTCGCAGGAGAACCCAAGCGCCCGTTGCTCTCCCTGCACACGGTGTCCCGAACTGTCGTGCAGGCTCCCTCGATCGTCGGGGTAAGTTCCAATTCGGAGCCGGCGGAACTCCGCCCCGACAAGGCCACCTTCATCCAGCTCCGGCCACTTGGCTTTCCGGAGCTGGCGGACGCAGGCATCATGAGGACGGGCAGGATGAGCAAGTCGGCGAGGGTCCGAGTGGCTGCTTTGTTTTCGGGTGATAAGGCTCCTGCCCCGCACGGAGTAGGCCCCGCAGCGCGTATCTTTGTCCCCAGAGCGGTCCCAGAGCAGGCAGGCAGGGAAGACGCCTTTTCTGCATCCTTGAAGGGATGTCCAAGGTTGCCCTCCTCGCGGGCTCTGGGCCCTCCCTGGGCTGCACTCCCCAGCGGCACCGCAGGTTGTAGCTCCTGTCACCCGCTGTACGCAGGGCGCGAACGTGGGCGCCCCAGGACGGTGGGTGACCGCGTAGCGGCCAGGCTGGAGGTGAACCGGCTTCCCAAGGCCTGCGCCTGCCCGGAAGGAGTCGCTTGACTTCGTCGCAAAGCCCCGGGTGCGTGTGGCCAAGCGGCTCCTCACTGTGCTGCGCAAGTTATTTTTTTTACCTTAATCTCTCCTTTCCTTTTCTTTCCCCCAGTGATTATTTCCCCATATCTCTATGAGAGTTACCCCATGCCTGTCATACCACAACCAGAGATCCTCAGCTCGGGAGCGTACAGCCCCATTACCGTGTGGACTACGGCAGTTCCATTCCACTCCCCACTACCCAATGGCCTCTCTCCTCTTTCTGGATACCCCTCATCCTTGGGGCGGGTGAGCCCCCCTCCTCCATCCGACACCTCGTCCAAGGACCACAGTGGCTCAGAAAGCCCCATTAGTGATGAAGAGGAAAGACTACAATCCAAGCTTTCAGACCCCCATGCCATTGAAGCTGAAAAGTTTCAGTGCAATCTATGCAGTAAAACCTATTCAACTTTTTCCGGGCTGGCCAAGCATAAGCAGCTGCACTGCGACGCCCAGTCTAGGAAATCCTTCAGCTGTAAATACTGTGACAAGGAATACGTGAGCCTGGGCGCCCTTAAGATGCACATCCGGACCCACACTTTACCTTGTGTCTGCAAGATCTGTGGCAAGGCGTTTTCCAGACCCTGGTTACTTCAAGGACACATTAGAACTCACACTGGTAAGAGAAAAAAACCAAACAAACAAAACGTAGACAGGAATGTTACTGTGTGATAGAACGAAGCCCCAGTCAGGCTGTCGGACTTGCATTAGGTAGTGACGCGGTGCTTTTAATGACGGATGATCTTTATAGCTACTTCCTGATGACTCAAAAAGTTGTTAGAGCACAGAGCGCTCCGTTCCAGACACCGCAAACAGCATTTAGACTTTGGAAAGTAGATTCGGAAGGTTGGGTCTCAAAGATCGGTTAGAAAGTCAGGAAAGACGTACCTGAGTGTGTGTTCTGGGAAACTGCTCTCAATAACCGGCAAACGCAGACGTCACTATCTTAATCAATGGGTCTGGCAGGTAGGTAGGCGAGGAAGGTTTGTCCCTAGTTTTCTGTCGGTCACATTCTTGCGATAGCTGTCACCCCAGAGCGAGCTGGACAGAGAGAACTGAGTTGACTCTCGCTGTCTCATTATGTTGTCTGTTCTGCTGCTGAATATTTTATTCCTAGCACAAAATCATCCTGCAGGGAGCCAAGGCATTTATCCAGCCTTAGTCATGATACAGAAGGAGGGGAAAGGGGAGATATTAGGAAATGTTGGGAGGAGCTCAACATTAGCTGCACCTGCTGAAGCAGAAAGCTTTAATGAGTGAAAGTCCTAGAACTACATGAATTATTTCTGCGTGACGGGCAGCAGTAGCAAGATTCTGTGGGTGTGGTGGGTTTTTTTTTTAACGCAATGTTCGGATTTATCTTCGAGGGCCAGATATGGACATAAGGATCTATTCTGCGGAGTTTTAGTCTAGTTTTTTGGCGACAAAATGTGATTGTTGTTCGTGAACATTATCTGACTTTACCTTTCCTCTAAAAACACTGACTGTCTTTCTTTCTCAACCCCCCCCACCCCCACCCCCAGGGGAGAAGCCTTTTTCTTGCCCTCACTGCAACAGAGCGTTTGCAGACAGGTCAAATCTGAGGGCTCATCTGCAGACCCATTCGGATGTAAAGAAATACCAGTGCAAAAACTGCTCCAAAACCTTCTCCAGAATGTCTCTTCTGCACAAACATGAGGAATCTGGCTGCTGTGTAGCACACTGACTTACGCAATCAATGTTTACTCGAACAGAATGCATTTCTTCACTCCGACTCCAAATGACAAATAAAAGTCCAAAGGCATTTTCTCTTGTGCTTACCGACCAAATAATGTGTATAGACACACACACACGCACGCACGCACACACACACACACACACACAAAGCTGCAAGAGCACGAAATCCATGTGTTCCAAGTTAATCCTTTCCATGTGAAGTTTAAAATTACTATATACTGACAGCGAGATTGAGAGGATAAAAGACAAGAATCTTTCTCTTCAAAAGTTGAAGCAAAAAGCACACTGCATCTTTTCTCACTAAGAAAGAATGCAAAGATTTACATTGCTGCCAAATCATTTCAACCGAAACGAACAGTATTGCTTTGTCATAGAGTTTGTAATAGAATTTTCTATAGGAAGCGAATTTGCCAGACGCTATCTCAGGTGCCTTATAAAGTATTCCAAGTTTACTTCACTACATGTCTGGTATCTGGTTATCATTGTTGAACTGAAGCCTTTGTGATTACCTGTAATGCTTTAAACGGTATTTTTAGGAGACATAGAAAGAGAGAAAAAAAGAACAGGAACGAAACACAAGAGAATGTATTAAGAGTGTTTTGTTTTTGTTTTTGTTTTTGTTTTTGCCAATAAAGGGTATGCGCCTTGGGGGAGGAGGGAAAACAAGCTTGGAACATTCCTGGTGCATGCCCCATGTCTTACTTTTTTAAAGAATTTTTAATGACTTTCTAAAATTAATTAAAGATGGGAATAAGTGCAAGAAAGGATTCTTAGAAACTCAGTAATGTACTTAAACTATTTTAAATGCATCCATACAGCACCCTTCCAAGTGCCTTTTTAAACTAATTGTATAGATGATGAGTCAATGTAAATTTGTGTTTATTTTTATATGACTGAATGAGTTTTGTATGAAAGTGAGATGTTGTCTATAGCTGATGTCTATAAACAACCTGAAGACTTGTGAAATCAATTTTTCTTTTTTAAAAAACAATTTTAAAGGTCCTTTTTTACAATAAACATTTTTGATTTAAAATCTATTGTTTGTATACTATTTTCAGAGACTTCGCTTCGTGATTAGTCAAGTCAAACTGCTATACAAAGAATTGTTTTTTCTTAATAAGAAAAAGTGAATAGCATTTGTATGAATATCAAGTGTTATTTTATGTATTAGATTATAATAAAGTATACCGCCAGTATTTTTTTTTTTTTTACTCTTAAGATAATACTGTCGCGTTCAAAAGGACAACGTCGTCATAGTGGTAGATTGTTAGTATATCCCTTTAACAAAAATCACACTGAGTGTTAAAAATATCTATATTATTAATGCTTAAGAATACTTTTCACAACTCGTTACCTATGATGTCTTTGTTATATTGCTTTATGAAACCAAATCACAACCACTCATTGTATTGAGTGATGATCGCATAAGCTACTGGAACAGTTTAAGATTTTTAGAAGAAATATCACTTGATAAGGTGTAAGAGAAAAAATAAAAATTCTGCATGAAAAAAAATCAGGAAAAAGTGGATTAATCAAAAATCACACGAGTTGGAAAATTAAACTATGAAAGCAGCTCCCACAGTTAGTGACATAAAAGAAGGGACAGGTTTGATGGGAGCAGGGTTAGATAATAGAAAGTGAAGGTCTCCCTTTATAGTTTTTTGAACAAGCCCCTCCCCAAACCCAAGATGTACTTAAATTATAGCATGACCAGCCATTCCATTTACAAGCACATGCTCACCAAATGCTTGGCTACTAACTCATAGGTAAAAATACTAACCTTCACAGGCACTGTGGCAATTACCAGTGTATTTGAACCCCAACTCCAAACCCATTATGAGGATAGTTCCCTCTACCATCAATCACTTCTCCCTTGGATGCTCAGAGCCTGCAGAATTATGACTTTTCCTTTTCATGTGCTTGTGATACAACGAAAACTAGAACCGGTATCTCGAAGATATTAGTTACAGGCCATTAACAAGTGACTGAAAATACCAATACTATTCCCTTAATGTTCACACACACTCCACTGTATGTTACATTTAAATTTTTAGCCAACATATAAAAGGTGTGAATTTGACAAAAAAAGAAAGAAAGAAAGAAAGAAAGAAAGAAAGAAAGAAAGAAAAAGAAAAACTTTTAATTTAACATTCTACTTTTTTTTTTTTGGATATCTCAGGACATATATCTCAAAGACAAAATTATTTAGAGCCGCGAATTATCAATGTAAAAGAAATGGCCAATAGCTTGATGGGGTATTCTAAGGTTGTAAAAAGACCACTTTAGTTAGTGTATATGGTACAAAAATGATTGCTTGAAAGTTTCCAGGTCAGCTAATATGTGGAAGGGTCTTGCAAAGGCAAATGGGAGCGAGTCGAGCATTCTCAGAGCAATCTTCCTGGTGATCCCAGGAACCACACCTATCCACATGTCCCTCTGTCGTGTCGCTATGCAGGCTGATCATTTCTTGGTGCCCCAAATGTAAAACAGATACTTTTCTAAAAGGAAGAGTCTGTTCATCGGTTTAATTCCTCAGTGAAGCATTAGTTACAATAATGTTGTAATGTGTTTCCACTTTACCCTCACCGTTCTAACTTCATGATCAAAATACTTTACTTTCATTAAGGTAACATGAGTTTGAATGACAGTACATCAGATGTGAAGATTTTCTGTAAATAGAGCTCAGTGATTGTTCTGCATCTATAGTGTTTCTTTTTTTTTAATTTTTTAATGTTTATTTTAAAAAAAAATTTTTTTAACGTTTTATTTTTGAGACAGAGCATGAATGGGGGAGGAGGGGCAGAGAGAGAGGGAGTCATAGCATCTGAAGCAGGCTCCAGGCTCTGAGCCATCAGCCCAGAGCCCGACGAGGGGCTCGAACTCATGGACCGCGAGATCGTGACCTGAGCTGAAGTTGGACGCCCAACCGACTGAGCCACCCAGGCGCCCCAATGTTTATTTATTTTTAAGAGAGAAAGAGAGACAAAGTGTGAGCTGGAGAGGGGCAGAGAGGGAGACACAGATTCTGAAGCAGGCTCCAGGCTCCGAGCTGTCGGCACAGAGCCCGACGCGGGGTTCAAACTCACAAACTGTGGGATCGTGACCTGAGATGAAGTTGGATGCTTAACTGACTGAACCACCCAGACACCTCTATTTAATTTGAGAGAGAGAGAGAATGAAGGAGAGGCAAAGAGAGAGGGAGAGAGAGAATACCAAGCAGGCTCTGCGCTGTCAGCGCAGAGCCCAACGTAGGGCTCAAACTCACAAACCGTGAGATCATGACCTGAGCCGAAGTCGGATGCTCGACCGACAGAGCCACCCGAGTGCCCCATAGCATCTTGAGTGTTTCTACCAAAGTCTAGGATGGACTAGATAGCTGACCTTCTGCACCACGTAAGACCTGCCTCAAATGTTACTGACCCTGAAACGCTTTTCCAAATGTGCTCTTTCTGGAAGCTTTGTGCCATTTATTTTTTTTTTAATTTTTTTTCAACGTTTTTTATTTATTTTTGGGACAGAGAGAGACAGAGAATGAACGGGGGAGGGGCAGAGAGAGAGGGAAACACAGAATCGGAAACAGGCTCCAGGCTCCGAGCCATCAGCCCAGAGCCCGACGCGGGGCTCGAACTCCCGGACCGCGAGATCGCGACCTGGCTGAAGTCGGACGCTCAACCGACTGCGCCACCCAGGCGCCCCGCTTTGTGCCATTTATAATGTAGTACTTACCTTCTCCCCACATTGCAGTTGTGTGGTGGTACCTTTCCTTTTTTCGCCAGAGCATCCTTTAGGCGTAAATGTTCGGTGCCCGACACGTCATCTGGAACACAGACGTCCACAAATGTTTGTTGAACAAACGAATGGACACAAGAACGGAAGTTGGTGAAAAATAGCTTGCAGATCTGAACTAAATTCAGTGTATCCCCCTTTACCACAAAGAGAGCTGATGGTCTTTGAGAGACCCTCCAAACAAATTTACTAGTGTCTCTACTACTAACTTACTTTCTACTACTAACTGCTACTACTAACTTTGTGATGGCAGCCTCCCCCCCCCCCCCCCCCACCAGGTTGATTGCTCAACAAAAGTGAAGAGGGACAAGCACGGTGCATGCGGGTCAGGTCTGTTAGGGCTTCTGAGTGCCTGAGCTTTGGAAACTGTGGATTTTAATCATAGGCACATATGCTGATAAGGGTTCTCTGTATCCTTAATTCGTTTCCTATGATAGGAGGCAGCGTGGTCTAGTAAAAAGAGCACCAGCTTTCAAAGGCAACGTATGCGTTCATGGAATCACTGCCTCCAACTTGCTGGCTTTACGTCCTTACACAACGTATTTAACCCCTCAGTGTCTATGCTTCCTGGGTGTAAAATAGGAATAGATTCTCTGGAGTATCACAAGGAAGTACTTACACGGTCCTTTGCACGAAGAGGCCTTGTAGATGCTATCAAGTACCCAATGTTTTATTAAACGCTGAGGATGTATCTGCTCTGGTACTAGGAAACCTACTTGTGTCATCTTCAATGGGAAACGTTTCTCTCTGAAGTCGGTATTTTACAGATAAGGGTATTAAATTCAGAGAGTTTGGATGATGAAGCTCAGACGACAGAGGTGGTAAGCTGCAAAATTGAGATCAAACCTGGATTCTTCTGGCTCCAAAGACCCCACCTCTTCCACTGCACCAAGGGAATAGAGAGGCCACTGAACTACACTCAGCATGGTGATTCATAAGTTGTAGGCATTCTGGGACAGTTGTTGAAAAGAACAACGATAATGTGCCCCTAGATTAAATATTTTAAGGGTGAATTTAGGGACGATCATTATTCAGGGATTATGCAATTACATGCAACAATCTTCAGGGCCATTTCCCAATTTCCTTCTAGAAATCCTGTTGGCCCTACTTCCTCCAGTATTGACCCTCCCTGTCATGACATGCTCGTTCACAGCCCCCCCCCCCCCCCCGAAGTTCTCCTGGTGACTGCTTGTTTTCCACTTC